CCCAGTGAGTCTCAACTGGGGGTGATTTTGCCCCTGCCCCCAGGAACATCTGACAGTGTCCGGAGACATATTTTGGTTATCACACTAGGGTGGGGGTTGCTACTGGCATCTAGTGGGGTGAGGCCAGGGGTGCTACTCAGCTTCATACAATGAATAGGACGGCCCCCAAACAGTTATCTGGCCCAAAATGTCAAAAGTGCTCAGATTGAGAAATCCTGAATTAGCTCTTCCATCTGAGTTAGGCCAGACCTATACTATTTTCCTCATCAAAATGTTACAGTCATAGTATACACACAAATATAAAATAGATTTACATGGTAGGATAAAATGAATATCAATCATATTAATGTTGTTAAAAACTAAGATTTTCACAGAGAAAACATACAATATAAAGTCAAAGAATTTAGCCCTATCCAGTTTTGCTCTGTGGTTAGAGCGTCAGCCCGTGGACTGAAGGGTCTTGGGTTTGATTTCAGCCAAGGGTGTGTACCTCGGTTGCAGACTTGATCCCTAGCCCGGTCTGGGCACATGTGGGAGGCAACCACTCTCCCTTCCTCCCTCTGAAATCAATAAAAACATACCTAAAAACAAAAACAAAAAAAAACTATGTATTCCCTAGCTCTGCCCAATCAAAAGGTCAGGAAGTAATGATAATCCAGTAGCAAGGGGCACCCCTAATTGTGAGACTGTGACTCTCTAAATATCATTTCCCATAAAAGGGCAGGACTCTGTGAATCAACGGCTGATTCCAGGTCTCGAGCAGAATGTACAAATGAAACTTGGGTCATCTTGTACAAATAACAAAGAAGCTTTGCCTTGGTCACACCTAACAGCAGGAAGACTAAGAAAGAAACCCCCAAGTTCTATTTTGGGTAAACTGAATATTGGGAGGCAATTACCAATTTCTGCCACAGTATTGTGGGGGCAGACGAATTAGTCTCTGGATCGCACTGCCCAATATTGTAGCTATAAACCACATGTAGCTACTGGACACTTGAAATTTGGCTAATCCAAACTGAAGTGTGCCATAAGTGTAAAATATACACTGGATTTCAAAGGTTTACTATGAAAAAATAAAGTAAAATATCACAATATTTTTATATTGATTACGTATTGAAATGACAATATTTTAGGCATAATGGGTTAAATATAATGTTATTAAAATGAGTTTTATGTTTCTTTTTATATTTTTAATGTGGCTACTAGAAAATGTAAAGTGTATGTGTGCCTCACGCTGTATTCCTATTAGACAGTGCTGCTGTAGAGTAACTAGTTATAGGGTCTTCTGAATGCCCCAAACCTGCGAAGAACAGACATGGAAAGTTCAGGAAGGGCAGAAAGAGAGAAAGAGGAGTAAAAATGCTCAGAAAGGAGAGAAGGGAGAGAGGATGGAAGGGGAGAAAAAGGTGGGAGGGAGGGAGGCCGGCCTGACTAATGGCCACAGAACAGGAGAAAATATCCGCAAATTATATGTCTGATAGAGGGCTTATGTATATATAAAAGAGAGTATATAAAACAAATCTTATAACTCAGTAATGAAAAGACAAATTTGAAAATGGGCAAAGGATTTGAAAAGACATTTCTCCAAAGAAGACATGCAATTGACCAGTAAGTACGTGAAAAGATGCTCAATATCATTAGTCATCAGAGAAATGCACATCAGAACTACTGAGATACCACTTCACATCACTAGGACGGCTATAATCAAAAGTAATACAAGGGTTGATGAGGATGTTGAGAAATTGAACCTTCATCCATTATTAGTAGGAATATAAAATGGTGCAGCTCTTTGGAAAACAGTTTGGCAGTTCCTTAATATAATTAAACATAGAGCCCGGCCGGGGTGGCTCAGCAGCTGAGCATTGACCTAGGATCCAGGAGATCGAGGTTTGATTCCCGGTCAAGGCACATGCCAGGGTTTCGGGCTTGATCCCCAGTAGGGGGCGTGCAGGAGGCAGCTGATCAATGACTCTCATCATTGATGTTTCTATCTCTCTCCCTCTCCCTTCCTCTCTCTGAAATCAATAAAGACATATTTTAAAATAAAGCCAAAGAAAACAGAATTACCACAATAATTTCACTTGTAGTTATGAGAATAGGCAAATCTATAAAAACAGAAAATAGATTACTGGTTGCTTGGTACTGGGGGTGGGGGGTGATTGCTAATGGGTATAAGGTTTCTTTGGAGGGTAAAGAAAAATGTTCTAAAATTGATTATGGTGATGGTTGTAAACCAAATAAATATAGTTATAACCACTGAATTGTACACTTCAAATGGGTGACTGTATGTCACGTGAGTTATATCTCAACAAAGACTTTTTAAAAATTGATGAGGCTATACCTGACAAGTCATGAGATTAGAGAGAGACGGGGG